TTTCTAGGGCCTCCTACCTACATCAGTGATTAACTTTCTCGGGACTTGCAGAGATCGCACATGGGACCTCCAGGTTAGCGAGTCAACATCCAACCCACTGATCCACCGTGGCTCCCATTTTGTAGTAATAAAAGTGTTTAATTTTGTATAGCTTAACAATAAAAGTGTTTTTTTTTTTTTTACTTATTTCAGCTATTAGTGTTCTTCCTATCATGGTTAATAGCCTACATGGTACCCGACATCCCAAAAGGTGTCAAATTACAAGTCTTACGTGAAAAATATCTGGCTAAGGAGGCCATTATGGAGTCTGAATCTGTTCGGAGACGTAAAGAAAGGGCTGATAGTCAACCAGATGAGGGAAGTGTAAACTATTAAAATGAAACACTGTGAAATGGATAATGTTCACTTATAAACCAATGACTTTTACTAATGAAAATTTTTGTCATTAAATTATACTTAACTAATGTTTAGTATTTATCGACTGTGGTAAGAAATTATACAATAGTCATTAATTAACAGGTGTGTAATTGGCTTGACTAATTATAATACCTATCTCTATTGAATACACCAACATGAACAATAGTTACAATCTTAACAACTAGTGACATAATACCCACTTTATGACTACTGCTTGATTACTGACCATTTTAATGGACTAGTAAACATTCTGCATATAAAACATGTTTGTCTCAGTCATTTATCTTATTAAAAGTCATTTTTTAAATAAGTTCTCGATAACAACTTGACCGGGTATAACCTTAATAACCACAATTTTATATTTTATTTTATATTTAATATTTCTTGTGATTTCTAATTCATTGTTACATTTTGAACTTCTGTAAGATTCATAATCAAATTTATTTGGTATTCTGAAGTTGTTGTTTTTTTATTGTAAAATATTTTGTGTAAATAACCAAATGATGAATGGTTCTGTCAGAAAGGTTTAAAAATTGAATAGTTCAACTCCTTAGCACTTAGAGATACCCGTATATTCTTTCACAACCTTGGGACAGTCTAAGTGTTAAAGGGCAGTATAAGGAGCCCTAGTTATGGTGGTTTGTTACGGTCTAGGTGTTAAAGGGTCAATTATCCATAAAGTAATATATCCGTTCACAGCCTTAGGACAATCTAAGGAAGTAAGAAATTCAGATATTTGAAGGAGATTGTCTAGTTTGATAGGCCCAAGCGTAAAAGGATCAGTTATACATGAAATAATAAATTTAGACATTTGATGGTGTGAAATGACATGGAAGTAATAATTTTTAAGATTTAGTTGAAAAGTTAAAGTTTCTGATCCCAAGTCTCCAGTTTTCAGACAATATCTGAGTTTGATTAAATTGATTATTTAACGGAACCAAAATATCAACAGCTGATAATCTTCAAACTTGAGCTTGCATTGAATCAGATTTTAAAAAATGCCTATTCACTCGCTTATTCAAAATACATTTAGATACATGTAAATAGATTTCTGATAGAGTAATTGTACATAGATAGTTGATATTCCATAAATGTGACTTCCATAATCTGTGTTCTAACTTCTAAGACCAAAACATGTTAATATTCTGTTCTTTGGGATCTTTATAACTAAATACACAATAGGACCTTAATCAACAATGCTTTGTTTTCAATTTTTAAAATTTGAACAAAAAAGCTTTGGAGAAGAGCAACAACAAAGTAATATTCCCCCAAGGTTTCGGGGCTGGGTATGTGTGTGTGTTGGTGGGGGGGTGCAATCATTCGCTTCCTCCTAAGGGTTTTGGGTACTGGGAGGAAACCTGAGGACCTGCAGAAAATCTACTCCTTGGAATCGAAGCCACGCCACTTGACTCAATGACAGACCTGGTGATTCCACATTAGACCACCCAACCCTCCTGTGTATCTCTAGGAAATAGAAAGCAACATTTGAATTGGTGTTCCCCAAGAACAGATATTGAAATGTGGTGTCTGTGAAAGTGTTTTTGTTTGTGCATGCTATTATGCAATAAGGTTTGTGTTATTGTTAAGAAATTTCTGATGTTTATTTTGATGATTGTTTTTTTAATTCATATAACAGTGTAACCTATAATTCATATAACCTTACTACATGTTTGATGATAGTGTAACCTATAATTCATATAACCTTATTACATGTTTGATGATAGTGTAACGTATAATTCGAATCCCATTTAAAGATTATAATAAAAATTTGAAGGTTTTTATAACAAGTTTTATATAAAAACCAAAATAACAATGACACCAGAAGAGTGGGTGGAATTGGTGTAATATTGTATTTACACATCAATATATTTCTTTGGCTTAAAATTAAATAGATAAAAGATTTGTATTGAATTTTGTATGTTGATTTGTATCTTTGGGTTGAAAGTAATTTTTGGTAATTTTTAACATCTTAATTTTCTGCCCTGACTGGGCTAATGACGATATGATTTTTTTCTTGCTGTGTCTGTAGGTAAACCTAACTTAAATTTTATGACAATTTGTGTAAATGGAATATTTAATGAAAATCCTAATTATTCCTTTTAATTAGCATAATGGAATTAATGTATATAAATCTTCTTCATACTGTCAAATAAAACTTATATATTTTTATTCTTTTGTTTTAATCCTATATCCGTATGTTAATGATATAAATCTGATATAAGTACTTATAATATATTTAACACTAGTTTTCATATAGATATTCATTTTAAATACAACAAGTCTTGTTTATAAATACAACAATATTATTAAATGTCGTTCTTCCACTGAAATTCTTACAATTAGCATATACCATTGTACATACGTATATCAGTTAAAGGGATTGTTTGAGTTTTAGTCCAGCCATGCGAGAAAATTATAAAGTGACTTGAACATCAACTATTAACTGATATTTAGATATTTGTAGTTAAAGAATAAAAATCTCTGTTTTAGTAATGAAATGATTCTTGAAACATGATGAGAACCCACAACAAATGCCGGAAGAATATGGTGACAGTCCCTTTAAATAAAATTCAAGTTCACATCTTTGGAATACATGTAAATCATGCCTTAAATTTTGATAGTTATATTTATTGTGAGAGTTATTTACTTAAATAAATGTTTTTACTACCGTTATTTAAACATTGTATATTGATGTAAATACATGTATAAACGTCATTCTTGATTAATTGTTATATTATTATACTATATTTAACCTCATTCTTCTGCTCAATCAAAATATATTTATGGTAGTTGGTCTTCTACACTTTGTATTATTTCTACAAAACATCTTGTATTATTTTGAACCTTTTTTTAAAGTGCTGTTAGAATTTCACCTGTGGCAGCAGACTGATAACAATCATTTGAATTTCAAAATTAGAATAAGCTCAATTTACGAAGAAAAGCTTATAAAATTTATTAATGTTTTTATATTTTTTGATGAAATAATTAAGAGTAGATTGTATTGTTGTAATCTAAAACTATATCATTTTTAATCTTTACTGTCTATGAGAAAACCCCCTGCCTCAATCCTAAACAATTACATATATTCCTGTAAATGTGGATAGTATGACGTTATGTCAGTAAGCCATTCTGACTTATGGTATATAAATTGTATTAATCTGAACTAAGAAATATATGTTAGTGTAATAGATACAGGTCATACAATTTATATAGCACATATTATAGTAGCAACAAGAACAAATTATCAGGAATCGCTAACTGAGTTATTATAGTTTTTTTTTAATTGTTAATTAATTTGACAAATGATAAAAGTAGTTTACTGACCTACTAACATTAGTGCTAGTTTTTACCTACCATAATATGATATACATTCGTGAATTGCCTTCATTGTGTATTGAATAAATTTATATGAAAACCAACAAGTTCTTTTGTTTTATCCCAAATAACATACCAACCTATATTAATGTTTTAAGTGTGTGCTTGCTTAGGTCTACTTTGATGGGACAGAATGCAAATCTTTGTCCTCGTCAAACATCAAATCCAATTCGCGATGCTTAACCACAAGAGTATAAAGTGGGTGGGTGGGTGGGGGGGCTAGTGGTTTAAAGCGTGCGCGTGAGATCACAAGGTCTGTCATTGAGTCAAGTGGTGTGGTTTCGAATCCCCACTCGAATGTGTCAAGGAGTAGGGTCGCCTGTCCAACCTCAAAGGTTTTCTCGCACTGCTAAAAATCCCTACACGCAGGTGAATTAATGAAATAAAATTAAACCATATGTTAGTGCCGACCTAGTTTATGTTGAGTGGACGTTAAACCCCATTTCTATTTTTGTCCCTCTGTGAGTATAATGTATAACTCGAGGAGCAGCGGTGGCTCAGTGAATAAAGCGCTATATCCAGGAGGTCCCGGATTTGATCCCGTTGTTGGACATAATACGTGCCCCTCGAACGACAAGAAGCTGTTCCTTGTCAGGCCCTCGTTAAAATCAAAGGTGCAATTTAGTGAATATCAAGCACATAAGTGACACATCCCTAGGAATATCTATTAGTTTTAGACAATGGGAAGAAACATGTTATTGGAACCATAGTCATGTTAATATGTAAATCAAGCGACCTTTTCATAATTCAATAAAGTCCAGCGTTATCTAAACTGGAAAGCCACAGCTGTACACTGAAGGTGAAACCCAATTAGAATTAACCAGCCTGATTTTCATCTGTACAGCTGACAAGTAGTTTGGATGGCCTTAAAAAACAGAGATCCAGTCGTGAACACAGTGACAAGCATGTAAAAAGACTACTGACAGTCATTTAGCAACAAACATATTTCTATAATTTTGTGGGCAATGCAAGGTAGGAGAATTTTGCCCAGACAGTGCAACCTTTCCATGAACCTCTTTGTCGATTTCCAACTGCCAATGGTTCTTTTACGTGCACACCAATATGTACACACTGGGATGCTGGTTTTTTATTTATATGTAAATGAACTAAAAACAATTTTACATTTGTTTATTAAATAATACTATTTATAATTTACAAAAAAACATAATATGGAACACAATTACTATTCCATATTATGTTTTTCCATATATGTTTTTTTGTATTACGTATGTCAATTGCTAAATGCCGCTCAAAGAAGATATTTATAATTTGTGAGATGGGTGTAAGAACAGGACCCTCATATAGGGAGGGGCTGCGAGAACATATGCCCAGATGCGACACGTCTTGGGGTGGGTGGGGGGCGGCAAATTACCTAAGTGAGGTAGCAATTCAGCAGCCTTGACTTCCACAAAATCTGTGTAAACCAGTTCATATTTCAGCAAATAGAGAGGGTAGAATTATGATTTTTCCAAGATATATATTAGAGTTTTTCGATCAAATGGAGAGTTGAAGGGAAAATAAATCTAACAATTTTACATATAAGTTGATTTTATACATAGTTATTTAGATAAAGTGTTAAAAATATAAAAAATTGTATTTTAAAATGTCTTTAAATCATAAAAGTCAAGTGAGCCTAGGCATTGAACAAAGCAGTTACAGTATGCAAGAGGGGGGAGGGGGTCACTGAAACTTTTACCCTGGAGCAACACAAAGGGTTGTGATGGCCGTGTGAAAGAATTATAAAAATGTTTTTAAAACATACGAGAGCTTGAATCATGCCTCCTATAGGCTCACCACAAGCAATAAGAACTTTTATTATAGCTAGAACTGTTAGCTCTTTATCTAAATCTTATATAGACTCACCACAAGCAACAGGAACTATTATTATAGCTAGAACTGTTAGCTCTTTATCTAAATCTTATATAGACTCACCACAAGCAACAAGAACTATTATTATAGCTAGAACTGTTAGCTCTTTATCTAAATCTTATATAGGCTCACCACAAGCAACAAGAACTATTATTATAGCTAGAACTGTTAGCTCTTTATCTAAATCTTATATAGGCTCACCACAAGCAACAAGAACTATTATTATAACTAGAACTGTTAGCTCTTTATCTAAATCTTATATAATACTTCTTGAAGAAAGCATAATTAATCTCCTGAGTCGGATTGAAAAAAGAGTAATCAGAAGATTTTAACGAAGATTACAGGTGGCCTTGACTTTTGATCATATCCCATTTATATCATCTGTAGAAGATTCCGAATATTGACCCAATTTTTCATTCATCATATCTTTGTAAAAACTCAACAGAATTTTTGGGGGGTCTGGCACGCCCGTCAGTGATTCAATTTTTACAATATTTCAAATATTAGAGACATTGAATAAAATGTAAATAAATATTTTCGTAAGTAAATTGTAAATTTGAAGCCTAGATTGTAGAATATATATATTTGGTATTTTTATCGACAAAAGTAGAGGTATATTATAAATTATTTCAATCTTTTAAGAAATCTACAAATTCTTCTAGTTCTCTTTGTTTAGCTTGTTTATGTGCCCATCAATTCTCCATTACTTCAGCTGACACTTTCCATTTTTCATGATAAATTCATTTATCACAGAAAGGATATTTTTACCTCCTAAAAAACAAAAACAAACATAAGCTATGTCTTTAAAGACATATGTTAAAGGAGACATGCTTGAACTATTTATAATAATCTTATATTATGTGTTATTATTTATTTTAAATGTAACACAAATTAATTAAATAAAGTAACACTCAATAACCATACCATTTCAGCAGGATTATAACAATATGATATGGTAAGCAGGATTATAACTTTATGATATGGTAAGCAGGATTATAACTATATGATATGGTAAGCAGGATTATAACTATTTGATATGGTAAGCAGGATTATAACTATATGATATGGTAAGCAGGATTATAACTATATGATATGGTAAGTGGGATTATAACTGTATGATATGAAATGGGGTTTAAGTTTTAATTTTCTTCACCCATTCAGGTAATGAAGATGGTCGCCATGACTGCCAGCAGTATTATAAATATTTACCTATAAATGGAGGTGTTTTCATGTACGTATCTAAACAACCATTATGAAACAGATGACCACAATAAACTCACTACGACCTTTCAGTTGATTCTGAAATAAAATATTTTTCACACTTTATCTGATTGTTCCATCTTAAAGTCTTGATGCATCATTTTTCACATATTATCTAATTGTCTACATCTTAATCCATGCTAAAATCTACCGGTACTCAAATTAATTATTTCAAATTTAATTTAATTAAGAAAAAAAAATAAGAATATCAACAGTGGTATATCTTTATGATCCCCTGTTCACATATCAACCTATTGCAGTAGTTCTGCCTCTTGATAAATTTCACAGATTTAAAACTTTTTGTGTTTCTAACTAGTTTATAAAGGGCTGCATCCTAGATTAAACCATTATTAATATTATACAGTCTTTGTCAAGTTTGTTGTTAGAGAATTAATACGCTTTGGTTATTAGACAATAAAATATAAAAAAAAGATCAGGCCTACCTCAGGATCTTCCGCTAAAACAGTGGACAGTTTTCTAGTGGATATTTCTTGACACAATCACGTATCAAATAATCACAAACAACTTTTAATGAATGTAGCAGCTCTGAAAAACATAAACAAAACATAGGTTTTCTTTTATAGATAATGGAGAGAATATTTACAAGGCGCTAAAAACATATCAAGGTATTGTTTATACTATTTTTAAAATTATTCTAATTTTTTAGATATATTTTGTAGTTTTTTTTACACAGAAACTATCAATGTAACTTTAAGGTTCAATTCTTAGAAATTCTATTTTTTAACAGTATCAGTTGGTCAAATAATGGATTAAATCCTACTTCTATATCATCCAGAAAGGATAACTCTTATTTGACTTATCTCCCCTTAAACCTCAATTTAAAACTTGTCTTCCTTGTACCTCACTCAATAAAAACAATTTACAAACATTTCTAAATAAAATAGTAAATCTCCCCTTAAATAAGAATTTTAAACTTATCTGCAGAATCGCATCACTCAAAAATATCACATGGCTAAAAACATATTCTAAATAAAATTGTAAATGACTAATCTATGTCAAGATAGACAGAATCAACTGCAACAAATATAAACAAAGAAATCTGGAGAGATATATTCTAGGAATCATTTAATGATATTGGGTATTTTTAACTCTGACATCAGAAAAGTGGATGTTAATTTATAAAATGAAAAATAAATTAATTTTTCTTACCTTCTATAGTAAATATATTCTTTAAACATCATTTCAAATATTATTCTGATTCCTCTGCAATCTTATCTCTTGGTTAATATAATTCATTGTGTTGTTATTTAAAACAATATTGGGTTAAAGTTGACTTTGATGACCACCAAAACATCACATCAGTTGATTTTCTATTCCTGTTATTCAACCTGGTAATACTACTTTCAATTTGTTTATAAATAGATTTAACGTGACCTATTGACCTGTGACGTTGTAATCGCATGTTACTAGTTTTAATGACAGGTAGCCTGTCTGTGTACAGAATTTTGTTGATATTCACAGAAAATGGTTTATAACAAATCTTTAAATTTACATCAAAATAAAACAAAACATTTTCATTTAGTTCTAATATAATTATTAACTAGTAAAATAAAGATGTTGTATGATTATTTATATTCTATTTATCAAGGCCTATTTCACGTAAATATGATTCACATTCTGTGTTACCGAACAGACGAGCATATTCTAATAAACTACCAAAATCACTCTTAACATCTAACATGGCACCCGCAGAGTAGAGTAACTTTAACTTCTCTACTATTTGTTTGTCAGATAGAATACAATAAAATACTGGTGTCTTATTATTATCATCCCTACCATCTTTATCAAGTCCTTGTTCCAGTAAATATTGTATACAGTCTGAGTCTGTTGTACTATACCAACAAGCATGGTGTAATATACTACGACCATTATTATCCTTGACATTTAACATGGCACCAGCAGAGTAGAGTAATTTTACCTTCTCCATTGGGTTAATTTTAGATTGAACACAATAAAATATTGGTGGTAGTCCATAGACAGGAATATTTACATTTATATTTTTTTGTATTAAATTGTTGACTTCATCAAGTGTACCACGTAGACAAGTTTTACGTATTGATTCCTCGTCCATTATATTGTTGTCGGTTGTTTTATTATAGTTAGTTGTTATTACATCTTGTGTAACAAATGGTTGGTTTAATAATGAAGTTGTTGATGTGATGGTGGCCATATTATTGTTTTGTATAGATGTCTGACTATATTTAACATCATCTGAAATTATATAATATTAATATTAGTTAACTACCTGTTCGTATATACCGTTCTGATAGTGGTTAAAAACCCTGACCATCTTTAAACTAGGTTATCTTTGTTGTCTGAACGTACATGTGAAACAAGAAGATATTGGACAATATCATATTACATGCAATTCTACTATTTTATTGTCTGCGATATCACCCAAAGTAGAAGCAGATGTTAAGCTCCAAAAAACAAACGATCTACTGTTTGTGTAAAGGGGGGGGGGGGAATTTAAGTTACGGTCGGAAAAACATCATAACTCATCTACGATTGTTGTGTTATGTATACATATATATTTGAACGTTAATCAAAATCGAATCAAACGTTTTGATTTCTAGAGGTTTTATAAACTGTAATTGCGGGCATTAATCCACAAAATGATGACCCGGTATGTACCAAAATTGATCCCACAAGAGTATTTTGAGATATAAACATATACTTTAAATTTAAGAAACAAAATCAGAAAAGTTACAATGATGGTCAATGGTACTCTATTTTTAATTAATGTCAACAAGGCTATGTATGACATTTTGTTTCATTTCTAGGTAGTGGATTATGATATCTGATCAATGTTTGCTTCAGACACCACACTACAAACTGCTAAGAGCATTTCTCTATTGTGATGTGGATTTTAGCGCCCATAAGACTACTTATTATGTATTATTATTATCTGTATTCTGATTGGTTGATAGTATGCGCTTTAGTCAATGATCTTCTGTCTTAATTGCTAGATGTTGTTGGTCACACATGTAAGTGACTTCTTCAGAGTGAGAATAATTTTCAATGTTACAATTGGAGAACATATAAAGTCGCTATGTAACAACTCCTGTAGGGGAATCAAGTGAAAAAATCCATTAGTGAAGACAACACGGCAATAATTTACAGTACATGAACTGCCGAAATAGGAATATATCATATTTTATATTACCTGTTGTAATGCCGTCAAGTGGTTTATCATCTGGTGGTAGACTACAGTCTATATCATCTGTCTCATTTACATCTAGAGGTTCTTGTTTTACAAGCAGTTTCCCATCTGTTGCTTGAATATCAACTGGTGAATAACCGGAATCATTTATTCCTACATTTGAAATATTGAGATAATAAATAAAAAAAAGACAGATATAAACTAAATGGATATAAACACGTAATATTAGTTTCAGATTTAAATCTTTAAAATCAAAATGCACCAAACGAATCTGGCTGTTATAAGATCGGGTACGCCATTTGTCACTTATGGATAAATAAATGGATAAAGAATTCCATTAAAGGAATGGTATATATATCAGATAGTGTAAACGGTTCTCTCCGTATAAATTATTCATAAAAGAGTCAAGTTACTGTATATTGGGGTTGGCCAAGAATGTACTCTGCTCTGAACATAATACTAAATATACAGCCACTGGTTGTTAAATATCAAACACAGTTTATCCTGGTTTACCTTGTCCATTATCATCGTCTTCAATTTCTTCTTTAATTCTGTCTATAATAACGTTTTGTTCATAAATTCGGTCCAGTTCATCGCACAAAATACTGTTTCTCACTTTCGTCATTTGTAGGTCTTCATTTCTTGAGTCCCTTTCCTCTTTTAGTTGGTCCAATAGCTTCGTTTTTGTTCTCATCTCTGACTTGAATCGAACAAAGATATTGGTTTTTGTTTTTACAGCTAACCTTAACGAGTTCAACGTCATTTTTATCCTTTGGTTCTCCTTTTCACTTATCTGTTTTTCTTGTTTTATTTGTTGAAGTCTTTCCTGTAACTGTAAATATTTGTCATCTTCCTCTGATTCTTTCTCTTCCCTTTCAACAATACCATCCATATCAATATCTGAAATTATTATAAACAAGCCAACAGTGAGGCTGATGTCCCCCGCCGAAATTGCAAAATAAATAGATGACACATATTAATTAATCGCACATTTATTTTTTTCACTAAGTTTCATCACTCTCTATCAGATAGAATCAAGATTATCTTGTCCCAAACCATCGACAAATGAAATCGATTAGCTCTGCTTAGCTTCAGCTCGAAATGTTAATTATTGAACTCAGTCAAGACATTCACCTAATGAACATCTACATATACATCAAGTTTAAACATTCACCTAATAGACACCTATGCCAAGTTTGAACATTCTACCTCAATTAGAAGGAGAGTTATTGTGTTCCAAAGTTTCTACCAATCAAATTGCTTATCACTCTGCTTACCCTCAGCAAAAAATGTTCATTATCGAACTTAGTTAAGGTATTCATATAATAAATCTATACACCAAGTTTCATCAATCTCACTTAATTAGAACTAAAGTTATCGTGTCCCAAAGCATCAACCAATCAAATTGCTTATCTCTGCTTACCCTAAGCGGAAAATGCTCATCTTCGAACACCATCAAGGCATTGACCTAATCAACACATACACCAAGTTTGAACATTCTAGCTCAATTAGGAAGAGAGTTATCGTGCCCCAAAGTATCAACCAATCAAATTGCTTATCTCTGCTTACCCTAAGCGGAAAATGCTCATCTTCGAACTCCATCAAGGCATTGACCTAATAAACACATACACCAAGTTTGAACATTCTAGCTCAATTAAAAGTTATCGTGTCCCAAAGCATCAACCAATCAAATTGCTTATCTCTGCTTACCCTAAGCGGAAAATGCTCATCTTCGAACTCCATCAAGGCATTGACCTAATCAACACATACACCAAGTTTGAACATTCTAGCCCAATTAGGAAGAGAGTTATCGTGTCCCAAAGCATCAACCAATCAAATTGCTTATCTCTGCTTACCCTAAGCGGAAAATGCTCATCTTCGAACTCCATCAAGGCATTGACCTAATAAACACATACACCAAGTTTGAACATTCTATTTCAATTAGGAAGAGAGTTATTGTGTCCCAAAAAGTGTGACGGACAGACAGACGGACGGACAGACGGACAGACAGACGGACAGACAGACTGACAGACAGACGGACAGACAGACGGACGAACCCATTTTAATAGTCCCCTGCTTTCTTCGAAAGGCGGGGGACAATAACAAAATAATGTTATGTTACATATCTGAAAGAGAAAATTTTCAGCGATTAACTCGATTCATCTTATTAATATAAGAATAATAGGAGAATCCCTGAAGGGAAAATATTTAAATGAATATTACTGACAAATTAAAATATATAAATTGTGCTAATTTACTTACCCGATGCTAATTGTTCAGCTACTGCTCCATATCCAAATTCATTTAAACAATGAATGAATTTAGAATATGCATTTATACCACAAGTCCGAAGAATATCTAGAAATTGACGTATCATTGCTTTTGTACTCCTTGATTCCGCTCTTCTGATTTTTTCCAAGTCATCTTCATTTAGTACTTGTTTTTCATATAAACTGTCTAATAATGGTTGTAGAGGAGCCAGATTCTCGGTTAAATACACATAGTTAGATATTATCCTCAAGTTATCTTCAGGTAACATCTTCCCTTTCTCTCTTCGAGTTATAACCTTTCTCCTCTTAGCATCGGGTGAGCTCTCTGGGTATTCTACTGAGAAAATATACAGTACAATATTATAACTGTATCTATAATAATAATTTGTATGATTACCAATAATATTATAACAACAAGGTTTATTTATCAGCTGTTAATGCCCTGTAACTGATTTTCTGTCCGTTCTGTGGGGCTACAGTCACTAAGTGAATCTGGCACAGGGTAATAAGCCAGGAGGTGACATGGAAAAATACCTAGTCAGTCGGATGAGACGTGCGTAACAGAGCTTTGAGTATAATTTCCGTCCAAATATGACAAGGGAAACAATTTGCCACAAGAAACAACTGCATGATTCTTGATGGCGACATATAATTAACAGTTATTGTAATATGACAAAGGAATGCAGCAAGAATTTAACCCGTTCTGTTAGACTCCATACAGTGTCTGATCCCTGAACATGTATCTATATCTTTTATTCAATATAGTATTCATTTCGACAATATCATATTAAGGACGACCTCAAATCATTTATACCGATGCCTACAAAATATTTGACCCTTTCTAAAAATACTACATCATTATAAAATTCAACACAGATTAAAATATTAGGTTAATTACCTGATACACTGGAGACGCCAGCCATTTTCTTTGATATCTGTTAATTGAGATAATTTTATCAAGATATGACCATACCAGATATCTATAATATAAATCAATAATATAATCAATAATAAAATCAATATAAAATACCAGATATCTATAATATAAATCAATAATATAATCAATAATAAAATATTGATCTAGTTCTAGATTTACTCTTTGGATCGTACCTTAATTACAGTCTCTCTTGCTATAGTAAGTGTCAATTGAGATGCCCGTCTACTCAACTGTATATACATGTACATATGTGTTTTATAATACAAGTATCGTATGATACAAGACAGAGATAATGTCATCACACCTGGTTGATCACGATTCAGTTAAAGAGACATATCATGGACAAATAATCAAATAATGACAGAAGTTCAGTGTAACCAAGAATTTACAAATAATATACAAATATTTGATTTCATATATTCTATATTAAAGAGTCACCCAGCTATAGCCTATGTGGTATATCAAAATTAAAACGTATCAGATAAGATAATAGTAAAATATGCCTTTCTAATCAATGGATATATCGTCAACTACTTTAATATTTCAATAGATGATATAATTACTTTATTCAACAATATTTGACTTGGTGATTTTTTTTTTCTTTTAAAATATAAAACATTGTTATTGCCTACTTCACTCCGATTTTGTTTTGCTTCTGTTATTTTGTCTCCTATTTCAGATATTTTGACGTCTTATGAAGAAACAAAAGTAACAATTGTCCCAGATATTGCTATGTTATTATCCGAGTTGTTAGATATACCCTTGTAATAATGGTATATTCACACATCGATGACGTGAAGTATGTATTATTAGAAGTCAATATATATAGTTGTATCAGGGGTTGGTATAATAAAATGAGTGGATGCTATATATTAGTATTTATCTGAAAAGTGGGTGGAGCTTATCATTGACACACGGATTATGAATACTATACCAATAGGGAGATGCTAATTGTAGGCTGGTTGGGGAGGTACGGAAATTTCCGGAGTCCACAATGAACCCTTTAAATGAATGAGTATTTTGAGGAATACTAACCCCATTGTCGCCTCTGGAAATTTCCGAAGCTCTCCAACCACCCTACAGTTAGCATTCACGATACTAGTAGGTGGAAATTAAGAAGAATACCAAGCCTTGAACCCGAACCTTGACCCCGACTGACAGCTGTCAATCTGTTATCATGACTTTGTAAACCGAATATGGGAGGGGCAATATCTACCCTAACTTTGAGTGATTCTCTATAGGTCTACTCGATTGAACATTCCAGAATTGAATTCTCGCAATCCCCCAAATTAGTGACACTCGAGTGAAAAGGGGTATTTCGGGTTATAACGCATGCGTCAACTGAATAAGAAAATATCTCAATCAACCATGCAGGCCAAACATATTTGTTGTGTTTAAACACGTCACGATTCTATTCACACCACCTCCATGGTCAGGACTGACAGAACTGTGACAGGACTGAATTCCGCGTTACCCGATTGCAATTCTGTCCGAATCGAGCACCCCCTTAGTAGCATACAAGGCAGTACATTACTAATAAATATATTAGTATCATAGACTAGATTATATAAGACAGGGTTCATACAACATTATTTAACAAATCATAGAGATGAATAGGCCTACAATACATGTACATTAAGATATATCTTTGAAAACTAAACAAGGTTTAAGTATATACATACCAGCTTTGTTTGATTCTAATATATTATATACAATGTTATAAAACCCTAGATATTACCTTGTCTTGATCTGTCTAACAATTGTTCAGCTATTCGCCCTACTGCTCACAATATAATAATGTCCACCCAGTTAGCAAACAACACGTCAGGTCTATTGTTACCTTGAAAATCCAGGCTAATAGACATGTCAGCAAACCCGATTTCTATATTTAAAGATGCATTATGTTGGAGTGAAATCTGTTTATTACAGGTCTTTATATTAACTTCAAATGTTATATAAATTATCATTTAGACATGAATTCACATGGCAAGCCTATATGATCAACTCACCCTCTAGCATTACTGCCCGCGGGCCAAATCTGGCCCACCAACAGTTTAAATGTGGCCCGTTGAACAAATTTCAACAAACTGACGTATCGATAATTCTATGAAACTAGCGGTGGAAATCATTTATTATTGTTTTCCGGTTTCAGTACGGCCCTGACTTCTGTACTGTATGTCATAGATATCTAAGTTGGCTAATTTCGTCCATTTCAAAGTAATGAATTGTATTATAATATGTAACGATTTTAATCAAATAAATCAATAAAATTTTCTTTATCTTGATATCTTTGTATATAAATTGTTAATTCATGTGGTCCCTGAATCGAAATGAATTTTATCACCCCTACTCTAGAATATCGGATGGCGGAGATTTAAATCAAATATAACACATACTTTATGGAAACACAGGTACTAATTGATTTTGTTGAAAAGGATACTGCCACATCTCCATATTGATGACGATAATAATCTTTAATGCCCCTTACATTACTAGCTGTTTTTACATACAGTATGTGTTATAGTTTAATACAATACATATATTAAACTAGATTTAAAGAAGATTTATTTATTCCTATCGTGTTTAAATAATAATGATCTCATTACCTTGAATAACTGTACTTTAAATTACTTATATCGGCTTCTACAGATGATATTTTACATCAGAAGATGAACGAATTAATATTGATACTGGAAATAGTATTCTGCTTTCTACAAGACTCGATTACATAGTCTCTAGGCGTGCAATGTTTAAATTCATGAATGAATATGCAAATAAACGACTTGATACAAAGAGCTATTAAACTGGGTTTTCCCCTTACCATAAATAGATATTGAGTCATTTATGACATATTTCAAGCGGTGTAAAGGGAGTTTGATAGTTAATCAACATGCAACTTGGTGTGAAATTTACCTGTCCCAAATAAATTCACAATGATACGAAGAAATGTCATGTACTGATAATACAAGAAGGTGTATATTATAAATGACATTTAAAGACATGTCTTCTATTCACTTATTCATTAAATATTAGCTTATCTATGTTAACAATTCCACGCTGATGAAATAATAATTATTATTTGCAGTTTTTTGGACACAAATTAGATTTCAAGATAATTTAAATGGACAGAAAAAGACATTGCCGATCAGTGGCGATGGCCAAAGTGTATTTTAATAAATCTAACTGGACGACAATATTTCTTTTTCTTTTTATGCATTTAACTAAGGCAGTTTAGTCGGGCGTGTTTACATTACAAAGTATGCAACAATTCAGACCAATCTGCCCATTCATATTTAAGTTAGGAGAAAATTTATTTAATTGATCCACATAAAACTTTTTATTAAAAGTTTGTCAACTGGTGGGAACATTCTAACGTGTGTCTGTCGAAATTTACGAAAATATCTATTTGAATTGAACACAGCCTTTTATACTAGAAACTCATTTATTTTGTTTTATGTCTGGTGAAATATGTTCTTCCCCTGTTTATTGGCGACATTGTTAGGGTGACTCACCATAAATAAATATCTCCATATATCTCGACAATTTCGCCACAATATTTATATATATGCCAAGCCTCAAATCAGTTTCACACAATTATAGTCACTAAATAAACGATCATGTTGTACTTAATAAGCTATGACCATTATCATGTATAAATAATAGACTGAAAACTGGTTCCATGTGTCGTCCATAACATCCAGACACTTTTGAGTAAAAGATAGGTTACGTGCCCTTGTTTTGAAATTAGTCTCGCTTAACCAGTCTATCGACCATTCTAGGGCTGATTGACAGGTCGGGATAATCAAGACTACTCTTTTACGAAACATAACAGAAAGCTAGAACAAGAAATTGAATTTAGAAATGAGCACGTTAGCTAGCTCAACAATTGTTTTAAGAAGCTTGTAAAAGTAAAATGAAACTACTGATAGTATCATGTTCCTGTCTAACCCGAGTGTTTCAGAGATATTATTTGTACTAAACCAAAAGATGCCGCTCTTAACGGTACAGTTAATGATAAAGCGATTTAAAAAATGAAACGAACGTAATTTCTAAATCTGCTGTAATAACCAAGAAGCTTAATTTTACTGCTATTCAAAATCGTCAACAAAAATTTTTTTACGGCTGTAATAGTTGATAGATTTGTAGAGAATTGCACGTGCCATGGCTATTTATAGTATCATACTGTCAGAAAGTTGGCCTCGACACGGCGAATGTGCACGCTTCAGTGGTAGTCTCGAATTATCAGCGGTTGACTGTATTTCTGTAGGTGCGTGGGTCACCCTAACATTGTAGAGTAAATATCTTCCCTGTTAATGGTTAATGGGAGGTAACTCTTTCTGACAAATCAGGATTTCAACCACTTATTTTCTGCCATTGGCTTCAATGTCAAATCCATGAAATTTTCCGGCCAATGACTTTCTCTTTTTACAGTCCGATGCACGATTTGATTCTTTAAAATGGTAAAAAGACCAACATGTCACAATCAGCTGATAAAAATATTGAAGGCGGTTGACCATTTGGTTTTTGTTCTAAATTTGATCAAATGAATCAACAGACTGTGACGTTTAGGTGATTCCCCTATTTCATGTGTGGTTAAAGGCTCAATACCACTCTTGTTGTAACTGAATAATATGTCCCAATCTTTATTCTGGTCAACAAATTGTACTATTTTAGAATATTTCAATTAATTGATGATACAAATTTCATCTTAACACACCTTATTTAAAATTTTGAAAAATTCAACATAATCATATGGTTTGAAACGTCTAACGTAAACCTTTTCAAATGAAACTTCGATTTAAAAATATTTTCGAACCCTCTGCACAAGTAAAATAGGATGTAATGGATAATTTACACTACAGGTAGGACACTTAAACATCTAGTATTTAAATAGAGATATTATTTATTTTCTGGAGCTTTCAAGCCAGCAAGAGTGTTATTGTCCCTTTAATTCATGATGGCTCGGCCGTAAAATCACGAATATTCAGCAAATCCTGACAGAAACTGTGAATCCAAACACTGTCGTTCGATTCTAAACCAAATGGTCTACCAAAATGGTTATTAGGTAAAAATAGGAAAAAGAAAGAATATTGCTCTATTAATAGACGGGCGACATTCTTACTAGCCTCAGCTAAGGCTTAGTTAAAATTACATTTATACACACCTTGTGGTCCGCTCTTTGACAAAACTTTATCCTAGCAACTAACCTTTTACCCTAGCAACTCACATTCTACAGCCCTTTGTTCTAGGAACTCACCTTTTACAGCCCTTATTACTCTAGGAACTCGTGTAGTGTAGTCGTCTGGTAAATTTTTCCTGTTTATGGTTTCGGTTTATATGCAAGGGAGATAAATCTATTATTCCACTTGGGGACAGACCACCATTAAATTTCACCATTAAATTCTAGTTCGTCTATTTATAGCAATTCTCTCTCTGTCTTTTTTCTCCCCTTTTGCATGCCCATTTTTGTTGATTTTTTGGTCTAGAATGGACGAAGAGGGTTTGAATTAACAGTTCTGCCAGGTTTTGGTAAATATTCCTGATTTTGAGGCGTAAGAATAACAGGGTTATCAGGTTGGTTACGATGATATGTACGGCAACTAGTTACATGCTTTTGTGTATCTCAAACTTTTGGTGGTCAACCTCATATAAATTTTAGTGCAAAGACATGACCATTTGTTCCCCTGTCTGTAGTGAAAAGCATTCAGCCCAACGAAAATTTGGGGAAAAGTTGGAGGTTGGCAAGGAGGCCAGAATTAACATTGAAGTCAATGGGGAAATTAATGGTGGTCTGCCTCCATTTAACTGTTAAGGTACTGTCAAGGTTAAATGGCCACAGATCACGAATGATTATCGTCTCTTAGATCGGCTCTAACCATTCCCAAACTTTCGTTTGGTAGAACGATTTCTACCACAGACAGGACAACATGTGGCAACCTTTTGTCCCAAAGCACGCATGAGATTCATTATGAAAAACTTGAGATACACAAGCTGGAAGTAGAGACAATTAAGCATGCAATTTTTCTCCCTACATTTCAGCATATCCAACCTCATAACTCTTGTATCCTTCCGCCCCAAAATCATGAATATTCACCAAAACCTGACAGAAAATATATATTCAAACCGTTTTCTTCAGTTCTACACCAAAAAATCAACACAAATCGCCAAGTAAAAGAGGGGAAAAGAGAAAGGAGGGGAATGACAAAAAAAGCCTTGGCCCTTGGTGAGCTGTGTCCATATTAAGCAATATGGTTTCGGAATTTACGTCACGGTTTAAATAATAATAATAATAATATTTAATGAGGCAACTTATTTAGTTTGCAAACAAATCAATCTTCCATAAGTCCCCCCTAAGCTACAAAGACACATATACATGTAATATCAGGAAAAATTCAAAATCCTTTGAAATGCAATAGCATTTTAAAGTGGGAAGTTTGGGAAGTCACTCCAAACTACAAAACATATACGTTATACAAGTAGTATATAGGACGAACACTATAATTACACACAAAATAAGATATACTGCAGTTGCAAATTAATTATATACGAAAATAATAAGTATATCACCAGTTGAATATTACGGTTTCTTCAGTGCTCAATATAAATAAGTTTTCGGTTTAATCTTAAAATTTTCAGCATTTTTACACATCTTTATATAAAAAGGCAGATTGTTCCATAAAAGACATGCAGAATAATGAAAAGTACGTTTCATGGATTCCGTTTTGCATTTTTGAAGGAAAAGAGATTTTCTGGTCTGTGAACGGAGCAAGATATCAGTTTTGGAATCAAGAGATCTTTCAATTAAATAGGAGTTTAGATACAATGAAATATTAAATATAATAATTTTGAATGATAAGACAATTTTATTATAAAGAATCCTCTGTGTATGTGTAAGCCAACCGAGTTTAGTAAATAAAGAGTTGGATGGAGTTTCGATTGGTGCATCAAGAATAATTCTTGCTGGCCTCTTTTGTAATTTTAAAAGAATGTCTAATCTACTTTTAGTAGCATTCCCCCAAATAATAGAGCAATAATCAAATATTGGTAGTATGTAACTATTATAAAACAAAATTATAAAAGGTAAGTGATCTTTTATCTTATTTAGGAGAAACACCTTTGATGCAAGTTTTTTTTAGACATATTATGTGCTATTTGTGCTTCCCAATTATGGTCTTGGTCAATTTGAATTCCGAGTAATTTTGCGGTAGTAACCGTCGCAGTTTTCTCAACATGGAGTGATAAAGTTAGATTTTTCTGATTTCTTTCGTGTTTTGATGAAATCAGCATTGATTTTGTTTTCGAAGGATTGATTACCATTCCATTGTTTGTGAACAAGGCAGGGTACTCTCATCTTCAAACAAATCTATCTGACTTGATTCAATATTGAGTGGGAGATCATTTATAAAAATAAGGAATAGGAGAGGACCCAGGATCGAACCTTGTGGAACCCCGCATTTGACTGTAGTAATTGAGGAGGTAATTGATCCTAAACAAACTTTTTTGCCTCCGTGAGTCAAGATATGATTCAATCAAAATTTGTGAATTATTATCAAATCGATAAAGATGTAGTTTTTCGATAATAAGCTTGTGATCAATGAGATCAAATGCTTTGTTAAAATCAAAATACACTATACCACTCATCACACCATTATCGATGGCATCAAGCCAATTGTCTGTCATTCTGATCAGTGCAGTAGCACGTGAATGATTTGATCTAAATCCAGATTGATATGCATAAAGAACATTGAAAGATTTGAATTTGAGTGTTCAGGTGCCTTTCGAATATTTTTGAAATTGTAGGGAGAATTGATATTGGCCTATGATTGTTCGGATCATCTTTAGCTCCCTTCTTATGTATAGGAATAATTTTAGCAGGTTTAAGGGCACTAATTATATATACAAGGAACATGTTTTGAGAAATACAGAGATTTATGATAAATGTCAAGCTGCTACAAATTGTATACGCAGACAATTTTAAAAGAGTTATGGTCCTTGTTTGACTTCATGGAACCTTGTGGGCCCCCTAACGACGATTAACATCCAAATTGTATGGAAGTTTTATGCATGAATTAAATTGGTAAAACGTACAATCGTTTAAATTTTAAAAACGATAAAATTGGTTATGTATCCGAATTTCATCTTATCAAAACGCTTATCGTCAATATCAAAGTACAGAAATCGGATTGTTAAAAGTACAAAATGACGTCCTCTTATCCACTGATAATCAATGCGGTTGCTGCTTTTAGATCTTACAGTACCATTTGACCACGACTTGCTGATGAACTTGGTCTAACAGTTTTAGTATAATGATCTATAAAATCTTATTTTAAAAATAATAGTTCCCAATATGTCATTATACAAACAATCTGACAAACGAGACGAGCTTCAGTGAGCCCTAGGATAAGTTTTAGGCCAAATTTTGTTTAGCATATACACCACCACATTGTCCAAAATTATTCAGAAACATCGTCAGCAATTACAACATTACGCGGATGTCAACCAGTTGTACCAATCATATAAACTATCTCTCCAAATCTAATATTGAAAAAAAATATCAGTGAGATTCGTACATGGACGGGGATCAATGTTCTTAAAGTGAACAACGAAAAGATTGAATATATTGTTTTTTTGAACAATCTGTTTAGTGTCCAAACTTGATGAAGGTATTTTACTCTTAGTAGATGAGCATAAAATAATACCCCTAGGTTTAGTTAGTCAACTTCCATGAAGAAACAATAATTAGTGATATTTGCAGATCCTGTTATTTATAACTGAGGAATATTAATAACATCAGTTAAGCCCGTGAAAATTGTTGTCCAGGCGCTTGTCATATCACGATTAGATCAATGCAATTCTACATTTTAGTAACTGGTCGTTAATTGTAAAAAATTAAGGACGCGGCAGCTCGGCCAATTACCGGAAACCAATATGATGATAATACCATATTACAATTCAATTAATGTCATTCTACGGTGACTCATTGAGTGAAATGTTGACTCGCTAACCTGGAGGTCCCGTATTCTACCCCGGTATTATCCGAAAAGGGTCATCGGGATTTTTCGGTCTCCCCCACCCCCCCAGCAGGACAGTAGGAATGGCATGGGACAACGCGTTTTCGGGTATCCACGTATATTCGTAACTAGGCAGTGACGGTATGGACAATTTTCTTTTCTATTTTGGTAGGCTAGCTACGCTCACCAATGTGTACTTAATCAGGTGGAATGTATTTTTAAAATCACGCTTGGATCAAATTCTGACTAGCATCATCTGCCTAACAATAATTTCCTGGTAAGATCACAACATCAATGTTGATTTAAATTGACAAATAATTCGCGTTTTCAATGAAAATTGTAAAACTGGCACATGAATCGCTTGCCAGAATGTTTTCGAGCGCCATTTGTAATGAAGCGACACGATGAACGAGGCTAAACATATTCCACAGGAGAATACTACCTGTGTAGACTGCAATAACTAGACGCCAAAGACAGCCATTCAATTTTGACTCTTCACGTATTTCGCCGAACATAACTGAAACGACTGAATGTATCATATACGTTGCGAACCATTTGTGTCCATTTCTATGTGCCAAAGAATAGAGATTTGGCTTCTTTAACCCAGAAGTTACGGTCAGATAAAATAGGTTAAGAATTGTGGCCTGTAGATCGTAAGCAAACATAAATGTGAAGGGACACACAGACATGAAAATGTGGGCACATAAAAGGTGTAACATTGTGCCAGCTTTCAATTTAAATGCATGACAAAGTTGATATTGGGCCTATGTTTAAGAAATGGTGCATCAGTCATTTGTGGATTTATAGTCTGTTGATAACTTAGCAGTTAGTAGTTGCCCGACAGCGACAACCTATCGTCTTCGAATTTGCCCGATACAGTTAATATTTAGGGGCGAATCCATGATTTTCAGAAAGGGGGGTGGGGAGTCGTTTCGGAGTAAATTACGATTTCCAGCCTAAACTATTTTTATTCTCCTTTCCCGCGAGAGTATATGGGGCAAAAAATTGTTCGACCCCCCCCCCCCCCCCCCGGATGCACGTCTGATATTCACTTTATTCTTTCTTTACACCAGACTGTAAATAAACATGATAGAGCCGTTGTTGACCATGTCAGCTGAAGGGAAAGGTTCTTGGGGAGTTCATTGCATGGCAATCCATCTTTCACATAATTATTATATGGTTGTATTTCAGGTTCGTAGAGGCTGTCAATGTTAACCAACAAGATATTAATGAGAAAACTCCCATCCTTCTGTCAGCGGAACGTGGTAGGATAGAAAAGGTAATACATTTAGCACAGAGAGGAGTAGGCATTGATGTTACAGGCCATACAGATACACCTCTTCATTATCTTGCAGGAAGTAAGGAAAAGTTAGATTCGTATGATAAATGTATTCAGTTATTAATATCTAAAGGTTTCGATATAAACAAACTAAACTCATCCAATGAAACTCCACTGTATTTAGCAGTTTGTAAAAGAAATAAAGAGATGGTGAAGTCATTAATTAATTCAAATTGTGACGTCAATATCAAAGAAGGTACCGTTTCGAAATCAATATTATCAGTGGCAATACAAATAGCAGAAACGACTATTGCTAAAATGCTGATTAAAGCTGGTTGTGATGTTAACAGCACTGATAAAAATGGCGTTACACCTTTAATGGAATGCGTAACAAATGATAACCAAGTGGTAGCTAAACTACTTATTGGACAAGGCGCATCTGTGAACGCTAAAGATAACAAAGGTCTGTGTGTATTGGGATACTTATTAAGTTCTTACTACCATCCTTATAGACATTATTCTTCATCAGATATTCTGGAGATGATGATGGAGGCTGGGTTAGATTGGACTAATATTAACAAACATAATAAAAATCTTTGTAGAGTAATTGATAGTGGCGATTATAAATCGGCTTCATTACTTATCGAGCACGGCATCGATGTCAATTCGGTAGATAAAAATGGAGATAAACCCCTTGCTCTTGCCTCCAAAAATTGTGAAACACATCTGGTGACATTACTAATATCAAAAGATTGTGATATAAATCATCAGAATCAACGAGGAGAGACAGCGTTACATAAAGCTATACAAGTTCGGCGATATTCTCATCCGAATCGGAGCAATGTTATAAAAATCTTGCTGCAGAATAGAATAAACCGGAACCTTAGAGACGCCAATGGACAAACGGCCTTGTACATGGCAGTAGATGCACGAGACAGATCTATTACCGAAGTTTTATTGAAGGCTGGTGCCAATGTAAACCATTGTGATAAGAGCCGACAAACTCCATTGATGAATGCAGTGACTAAGATGGACAATGTTAATGCCGATATTTTGCTAAAGGCTGGTGCTGACCTGAAACCGAGAGATGTATTAGGTAGAACTGCAATAAACCTTGCAGCTCTCTTGAATGATTCAATAGTTTTAGATGTTTTACTGAAATTTGCAAATTTGAGAGGTGAAGCAGAGTGCATCGATAATGCCTCATATGAAAATAGCAAAACACCTTTGATGGTGGTAGCAGGAACAGGACATAAATTTATAGTAGCAAAACTACTCACAGCTGGCTGTAATATCAACCTACAGGACTATGGTGGTAAGACGGCGTTGATGTTTGCTGTAGACAACCAGAATATTGGTGATAAGAATGGGAAAACAGCGTTGATGGTGGCCGTTGAAAAACAAAGAGACGGTCATTGTAAAGAATGGATGAAATATGGTGCATCGGTAAACCATGTTGATAATAATGGAAATACAGCATTAATGATTGCATTCAGGTTGAATAACGGGAAGATTGTAAATGATTTACTGAAAGCTGGAGCTGATGTTAATCTGAGTGATAGCGATGGAAATACAGCTTTAATGATTGCAGTCGGGTTGAATAACGGGAAGATTGTAAATGATTTACTGAAAGCTGGAGCTGATGTTAATCTGAGTGATAACATTGGAAATACAGCTTTAATGATTGCAGTCGGGTTGAATAACGGGAAGATTGTAAATGATTTACTGAAAGCTGGAGCTGATGTTAATCTGAGTGATAGCGGTGGACAGACGGCTTTAATGATTGCAGTCGGGTTGAATAACGGGAAGATTGTAAATGATTTACTGAAAGCTGGAGCTGATGTTAATCTGAGTGATAGCGATGGACAGACGGCTTTAATGATTGCAGTCTGGTTGAATAACGGGAAGATTGTAAATGGTTTGCTGAAAGCTGGAGCTGATGTTAATCTGAGTGATAGCGATGGACAGACGGCATTGATGACTGCAGCACGAAACTGTAATAGATCTATTTTAGAATGTTTACTCAAAGCTGGAGCTGATGTTAATAAAACTGATACAGATGGAAGATCAGCTATACATGGTATAATGGTTGGTGCTAGGGGTCGGAAATGGATCAACTGTCTAAAATTGCTTTTAATGAATAAATGCCATGTGACTTTGGGCATTCTATTTAAATGGTTACTGGAAAGAAACCAAGCAGATTCCCCATGTTATATTGCTAGAGATAATTGGTTGGTGGAAAAAGATGTAGTCGATCTTGTACGGTATCTCGTTACCGAGAACTGTTCTCTCAAAGGCTTGGATCTTAGAAGAGTCAAATGTCAATTTAGGTTTCCAGATAATGTGACGCTTTCCAAAATTTTTTTTGAAAGTGGTGCACCACAGAGAGAAACAGAGAACATTATTTCGGTACAGGATTCCACATACAATTTGATTCCGGGAGAATCAAACGATACGTGTGAAGAACAACTCGCTGACTTCCGTGATTTCTGTAAATCAAGAAGTTTGAAGTCAAGATGTAGAAGAGAAATCAGACACTGTATCGGACCAGGAATCAGCAGTAAAATAACTCAAGTTGGTTTACCACAACGTCTACAAGATTATGTCGTCATGAAAGACTTGATACCCGAGAAATACTTTACTCTTGTAATAAACAATACAGGTTATATATATGACGAATACCATTATTATTTTTAAAATGATTATGATGAAGACTATTCTGGTAAAGACTATTATGATGAAACTCTCTTTAACATATTCTGAAAACATGTATGATGAAAGAAATTTGGTAGAGGCTCTTTTTGTGAAGTCTGTGGTGATGAAGGTTAGTATAATAACCAGACAATTATTATGACTCGTCTGACTAAAGTCTCTATAATCAACTATTTTCGCTTAATTAATTGCACATTGATGTTTTTCAAAAGTATCGTTCAATCAAACTGATTATCAAGTATACACTTATGCCTGGCTTTTACGTGGGCTACGAATATTGGCGAATCGAAATTCTTGGTGATTCGGCAAACATATCAAAAAGATCGTAGAGAATCTGGAGTAGTTGATAAGCGGTTACGAATAGTTTAACACAAAGAGTTTCGATAATTCAAGGTTAATCCGTTGAAAAATATGCTGGATGTCACGGAAGGCTTCGACGAAATGAAAGAAACATCTATATGAACTAAAACGATTCAGTTATGAATGAGTAACGGATATGTCCAATACAGTTACGAATACACTACGCTCTCCACGAATAATGCCGATAAAGCTACGAAAAGTTTACGATATTTGAACTATTCGTTAAAAATCGAATAGAAAGTTGCTACGGACGACAAGAAATGGCTACGGAGGGTTTACGATACATCTACGAATTCCGAAATTCGAAGACCGTCGAAGAAAGTTTTTGACAAACAAAAGCTTTCGTGGCGGAACTACGAACAATACGAATGTGTAAGAACCAAATAAGAATCACTCACGAACTTCACGAACCATCTACGATTTATCTACGAATCAGAAAAGGTTTGGATTCGGGACGATTCTGGGCATTCGTAGCCCATATGAAAGCTGGCCATGAGAGATTTTGTTCCAAGAATAACTTACGAACTCCAAGAATCATCTATGATTTATCTAGGAATCGGAAAAAACGGTTGGATTCGGGGCGATTCGTAACATTCGTAATCCACGTGAAACATCATCCTCGGTATCCCCAGTGTTTTCATTCCGTTCTACTCCACTACACCCTGGGTTAATCCATAGGGTTTCCACGATTTCAAATTATCTACCCTAGCCTTGATTGTAGATAAGGTCTACGAACCAATCACAAAAAAAAAACAGTTTACAAACCAGCCGTTTCGCCTTCGTTTTATAAGGGTAGATAACCATATTCATGTTCATTTACTGAATGATTTATGTAAATAATGTATATATTTCTAATTCATTTATATTTAATTGTATTATCAAAATCTGTAGTGTGTGTCGCTGATTTCATATATGTATAACATCTATATGTTGGACTTTTATTATTGTTATTAATATTCGTTCTTTGTCTGAAATATCCCACTCTGTTAAGTTTATTAATATTGAACTTATATTTGGCAATTTGATTTACTATAACGTTTCTACGATATCACATGGACGTAAAACTCTGAACGATTCTCAATAAAACTCTTCACCCTACACATCCGGTCATCATTAAAGAAGAATATTGGTGCCAGTCATTATCACATATGCGATAGAACTGGTTAAACACGTTCCAAATATTATTTTATCACAGAGATCATTGCTACGATGGATGAGTAATCAATATTTCAACAATAGGAAGTGACGAACGCAAAAGGAAAACACGGGTTATCCCGTTATATAACTGAATGAAGTGACGGGTGATAATAGATACATGGGCGAATTTCTGCTCACTAATAATTCCTTCGAAGACCAAAAGTTGTTGTATGGGACTGAAAGGATATCTGACAATTCATAAACAAAATTGACTCTCACTAGATAAGAGAACATGAAAGAAAAATAGAAAAAGTCCGTGCATTACCATGTTTTTATAAGTATAGAATGAATAAACACCCGTGAATGTACGGACTGTTTCTATTTATCTCGCGTTCTCTTATCTAATGACATGCAATTACTTTTTTGAATTGTCAGATATACTCTTACAGTCTCATATAACAACGTTTGTAATTAGTTATAAGTATTTGCCATCATAATTATAAGTATTTATTATCTTTCTAATTAGTTACGAATATTTACTAACTTTCTAATTAAATGTTAGTATTTATTTTCTTTCTAATTAATTATAAGTATTTACTATAGCTCTAATTAAATATAAGTATTTACCATCTTTCTAATTAAATATAATTATTTACTGTCTTTATAATTAATTATAAGTATTTACTATCGCTCCAATTCAATATAAGTATTTACCATCTTTCTAATTAAATATAAGTATTTACTATCTTTCTAATTAATTATAAGTATTTACTATCACTCTAATTAAATATAAGTATTTACCATCTTTCTAATTAAATATAAGTATTTACTATATTTCTAATTAAATATAAGTATTTACTGTATCTCTAATTAAATATAAGTATTTACTACAATTCTAATTAATTGTAAGTATTTACTATCTTTCTAATTAATTATGAGTATTTACTAACTTTCTAATTAATTATAATTATTTACTTTTTTTCTAATTAATTATTAGTATTTATTATCTTTCTAAATAATTATGAGTATGTATTATCTTTCTAATTAATTACATGTATTTATTATCTTTTTAATTAATTATAAGTATTGGCTTACTTTATAATTAATCATAGGTATTTACTATCTTGCTATAATTAATTGGACTACACGCAAACAAAACGGACAAACTAGCGGACAACAAATATTGGATCATCTTAATGATACGTGGGGGGGGGGGGGGGCAGTCTTAAGCGTTCACTGTGCTATATAGTCCATGTGACAGACCTGGGATTTTGGAACATCATTACCAATTTGATGAATAAATTCAACCATGATTTTCAGTTAGCCTGGTGGCTGAAGTGTTGAAATTTGGTTGATGGACTTCCGGGTTACTTTGCTAAATTGCATTTTGGCGGCCATCTTTAAAGATGGCCGCCGTTATTTCATTGAAATTGAGCGCATCGGGGAAACCTTCATAACTCCCGAAAAGATCGACCTATGGATATGGAATGTGGCTCACAATGTTCACAAGAAAATGCTTCTTCTGGTGCTATATGATACTTGTTGTTGAATGAATCATATATTTTCCAAATCAACAGATTATTCTGGAAAAAGCAACCTTTTGGCATTTTTATTTTCCCAGGTTTTCATGATTTATTTTATAAGTTTACTACCAAATCCTGTTCAGAGTAATTTTAGCCAAATTATGTGTGTGATCTTCTTAAGTTATTCAATTAGCATAAATAAATACGCCCAGTGGTCCTCCCTATACAGCTGCGGTGGCCGCAAACTCAACAAAAGTCGTAAGTAGACTGTCAAATTTAAAATGTTGAACGTCGGCGAGGCAGGGCACAAACTTAGTGAACTTTTAGCTAGTGTGTCACAATCGAAACGATATTTGGGGACGGGTTGTTTCTGTGTCAAAATTTGTCCCTAAAGACAATTTTGAGATTATGTCACTTCTGTGACGTCATTTTCGGTTGGGGTTCTGTCCGATGTCCAAAATGACCGCAAGGGAGCTAAAGATGATCCGAACAATTATAGGCCAATCTCAATTCTCCCCACAATTTCAAAGATATTCGAAAAGCACTTGAGCACTCAAATTCAAACTTATTTGGAAACCTTCAATGTTCTTTATGCTTACCAATCTGGATTTAGATCAAATCATTCATGTGCTACTGCACCGATCCGAATGACAGGTAATTGGCTTGATGCTATCGATAATGGTGCGATGAGTGGTATAGTGTATCTTGATTTTAGCAACGCATTTGATCTCATTGATCATAAGCTTATTATTGAAAAACTACATCTTTATCGATTTGATAATAATTCACAAATTTTGATTGAATCATATCTTGACTCACGGAAGCAAATGCGGGGTTCCACAAGGGTCGATCCTGGGTCCTCTCCTATTCCTTATTTTTATAAATGATCTCCCACTCAATATTGAATCAAGTCAGATAGATTTGTTTGCTGATGACAGTACCCTGCATTGTTCACACAAAGATATTTAATCCATCGCCAATAATCTCCAAAATTATCTCTATTTGGTTGCTAAATGGTGTGAAAACAATGGGATGGTAATCAATCCTTCGAAAACAAAATCAATGCCGATTTCATCAAAACACAAAAGAAATCAGAAAAACCTAACTTTATCACTCCATGGTGAGAAAATTGAGACGGTTACTACCGCAAAATTACTTGGAATTCAAATTGACAAAGACCTTAATTGGGAAGCACAGATAGCAGATATGTCTAAAAAAAACTTGCATCAAAAATATTTCTCCTAAATAAGATAAAAGATCATTTACCTTACGAGACAGGAATTTTGTTTTATAACAGTTACATACTACCAATATTTGATTATTGCTCTATTTTTTGGGGAAATGCTACCAAAAGTAGATTAGACATTCTTTTAAAATTACAAAAGAGGGCAGCAAGAACTATTCTTGATGCACCGATTGAAACTCCGTCCACCTCTTTATTTACTAAACTCGGTTGGCTTACCCTTACACAGAGGATTCTTTACAATAAATTGTCTTAGCATTCAAAATTATTACATTTAATACTCCACTTTATCTAAATTTCTATTTTATTGAAAAATCTCTTGTTTCCAAAACGGATATCTTGCTCCGTTCACAGACCAGTAAATCTCTTTTTCTTCAAAATTGCAAAACGGAATCCATGAAACGTACTTTTCATTATTCTGCATGTCTTTTATGGAACAATCTGCCTTTTGATATAAAGATGTGTAAAAATGTTGAAAATTTTAAGATTAAACTGAAAAGTCATTTATTTTGCACACTGAAGGAACCATAATATTCAATTGACGACATACTTATTATTTTTAACTTGCAACTGCATTCTATTTTATGTTGTGTGTAATTATAGTGTTCTTCCTATTTTCTACTTGTATAATGTATATGTTTTGAAGTTTGGGAGTGACTTATCAAACTCCCCACTTTAAATTGCTATTGCATTTCTAATGATTTTAAATTTATCCTGATATTACATGTATATATGTCTTTGTAGCTTAGGAGGGACCTATGGAAGATTAGTTTTTTTGCAAACTAAATACGTTGCCTCATTAAATAAAGTTTTTATTATTATTATTATTATTATTATAGTATCATGCAAGTTAGGGCTTGTGATATATCATGTATAGGGTTTTCGTAGCCACTGAATTTAAAATTAAATTATTTATTGGAATTTTCGATGAAACGGAAAGGTTTGTTCCGCACAGGTATTAGCTTAGAAGGGACAAATACAATTTGTAGAACCAGATATTTGATGTTAGTGAACCCATTTTTTCTAGGACACCTGTTTCACACAAAATCGTATTTTCTATCCAGACGAACCTTCAGTATAATAATCTATATGCATACAAAGTTTATGAAAATACACATTCAAGCAGCATTTAATATGGTCTACCACCTGTAGGACACTCCCTTCAACTTAAAAATAAACTGTTTATTGGAATTTTCGATTAAACGTAAACTTTCTGTAAAATGTAAAATACTCGACTAATATACCAGTTGTAACATGTTTAACATCATATCTTTCCAAGCGAATTAACAATAAATTGTTCATTCGATAAAACGGAAACATTTATTATACTTGTAAAATAAATACCTATTGTGTATATGATACGTTGAAGTCTACCATGTAATACGGAAATTTGCAACACGTTTATAAGCACCATATCTTTCTACATGAACTAACAATAAATTGTCGATTGGATAAAAAGGAGACATTTTTTTAATATATATATCTGTAAAATAATATATGAATTATCGTTTTAACATCATATCTTTTGCCTCCCTTTTCAGGGATGGACACTCAAAAGGAGTATGATAGTTTCGGGGGTCCCTAAACTAGTCAATGTTCTCGCGTAGTTATGAATTTATGTCGTTTTTGATGAATTATTAAGATATATGCATAAGCTAAAAACACCAGGATATACTCTAGAAAGTACCATTTAAATTACAGTCAGTTTTTTCAAAAGATATTTCGAGCCTGGTTGTAGAGAACCCCGTCGTTCACGGAGCAAAGATAAGCCTGTCCTATCCTAGGTATCATATGTGTAATTTTATGTCAAACTTCACAATTGTCAGTATAAATATAACATTTACTTGACAATTATCACAATTTTCATCTGGCCTTAAAACATTTTAATTGGATTTGTGTTCCTGGTGTTATAAGCTTTCCAAATATGTATAGTTTGTTTAATAGGGAGGACCTTGTAGCGGAACTGTGTTTCTAAGCAAGCTAAAAATTTTGGTTGCAGGCCTACTAGACTATACGACAAAAGTTGCCGGGCATAGAGGCGTTAATGTAAAAACGGACCACATTACCATTTCTGAACGAATAAGAGATCTTAAATTCTTAACAACTGGATATATCATAAATAATTCTCAATACGGCTTAAAATGGTGTAAAGGCATAGTAGATGAAATTAAAATGACTCACTATTTTGGTGAAATGTCTTGTGATCTGTGAGATACAAAATAATCAATTCCATATTATGCCCCATTGTATTGTTTATGGGGTGTGTGCGGGGGGGGGGGGGGCGCATAGGATGTGTCATTTTTAGCAGTATCAGCATTATTTTTGAGTTTTTATTCATGTTCAGTGACTCTGAAAACCTTATAAAAGAGACATTATAAGCTATATAAAACAGTCATTCATGTTATGGAAATTCTGACCGCCATTTTGAATTTTCTCCATCTTGGATTTTTAAAACTCTTTGTTTAGATTAAACAAACATTGTGCACGAGCTAAATCTGCCTATTGCAGGTCTTTCTGTAGGCCTGAAATGTTTTCTAAATTATTATTTAGACATTAATTAACTGACCCAGGCCATAATCAACTCTCGATGGCATCGGATTTCTCCGATATTAAATAAATTAGAACGTATTAGTCATATTTTGATTTAATCTAAAAATGGAGGAGCGAGACTTAGCTTCGAGCAACCAGTACAGTGGTTGGAATTATTGCACGTGTCTTGTCAAACCTTCAAAGGCTAATATCTTCGCTCGCAATAGAGTAATTTGAATGAAATTGTCAAATTATTCATTTTACATTTATCTATTTTCGAACTATTGTAGCAAGAATGGCTAGCTCTTTATCTAAATCTTACGTAATGAATCTTTAATTGTAAGCTCATTGGATAGTACATGTCATATCAAACAATGAAATGACTATTATCTGACATATTGACCATTTTAGGAAATTTTGTCGCCATTTTGAATTTCCGCCATCTTGGATCTGGGACACTCATATTTGAGATTATTTTTTATGATCAATGTTTCTGATATCTATTCAATCACTTAAGTTGACCAAACAGATAATTTGGCTTATATGGGTCTGAACACGATTTGTTAGTAAACATACGAACAGACATGAAAAAAAAAAATCGAAAATGTTGCTTTTTTCAGATTAATCTTTTATTTTAAAACTGATAGTATTGATTAAACAACATATATCATATACCAGCAGATGCAGAATTATATTATGAACATTTTGAGATATATTACATATCCATATAGATGAAACTGTTGAGGAGTTATGAAGGCTTCCCCGACTCGCACTATTTCAAATAAGAAAAAAAACGGCGTCCATTTTTTTAAAAGATGGCCGCCAAACTGACATTTGGCAAAGTGACCCGGAAGTCCATCAACCAATTTTGGACACTTTAGACCTAAGGCTAACTGAAAATCATAGTTAAACCAATTCATCAAATTGGTAATGAATATCTGCCTGTCACATGGACTAATATAGTATCTGTGTGTAATGATACAAGTTTCACGCAAATAGACAAACAACACAAGGGGCAATCGAACAAAAATGACTGCTCTCGATGGTAGTTATGGCGATAGTATTTACTTTATAATTTTGTATTTTTAGTTTTAACATTAACAAAAATTAAAAAAAAAAGTTAGTTTGGTTCTTTCGCCGAATTGCATTGCATATTAGTACCTCTGCTGAGAGGATGATTGGTTTCCATATTAGCAGATTTTACGAATTATTCTCCCGAACGGTTGACTTAATGCTTCGATTGTCTCGATCATTACATTACTAAAGTGTGTACGATAAAAAAACATAGTCTCGGTTATCCATTTCATGATTAAATCATGACTTCATGAATGAAAGTTGAGCAGCAAATCAGATTCTAATCGCAGGCTAGCTATAACATCGAGAATTGGTTATGGTCTGGATAAGTTAATTAATGTCTAATTAATAATTTAGATAACATTTCAGGCCTAAAAAAGACATGCAATAGGCAGATTTAGCTCTTGCATAATGTATGTTTAAGATATCTTATCTTTAATCGCTGGTAATACAACGTATGCACTACAAATAAACCAAACATATATAACCACATTCACTCCCTGGTAAAACCGACAAAGATATATAACCACATTCACTCCCTGGTAAAACCGACAAAGATTTTCTGTCCTGTATAAATATCAACCCATATATAATTTTATGCGCCATTTATTGTCGTAATAAGGTTATACATTTGAGCAACATATTGACGATTTTATAAATGATAATGCGCTTTAAGCGAATAAAGGACTAAACAATTTTATTACCATCCAAGTATTAATGCTTTATTCATTTCTTTGTGTACAGTTTCAATAGATTGCAATATTACAACAGCTTTAGAACTTTCCTTTGTTTCACGGTAAATGATGAAAAGATAAAAGGTATGCCGACACAAACACTGGTTTAATAACATTTTAACATTTTAAAGTACTATTCGTCCGTCTTGGGACTGTTGATAAATAATATAATGTTCATAAATATATATAATGCATCCAGAATCAGAGAACCAGAAGCTTACACTGTTTCCAAATCACAGCTAAAGACTTACTTATTCAAATATCTTATCCAGAGTAGTTACTTTTATTTTTGTAATACACATTTGTGTTACTCTTTGAGCATACATTGTATGGATTGGGCATAGCGCATTATAAATATACACATTAGTAACACAATATATTTTCCATTTTGAACTAATGTCAATTTTAGTTAAATGTGTGTGGGGCGGGCTCATCAAAGTTTTATAAACATGTCATAGATTTATTTAAATCAGCTCATAGTGACATGTAAGACGATATAACAAGATAAGTATCCATGTATATCATATGAAATTAACATTGAGACTGCAGGGTGAAGATTTAGTAATCTTACTTTAGTCAATATTTTACTTTCATTTTACATTCTAAGAATAGTGTTTCCTAGAAATTAGCCTGTTAGCTTGTTCAACTAGACAGTTTAAATCCTGTGTGGTTGGTTATACGAGACCATTTGTTATATCGGTTACCAGGTGTTATGCGAGACTATATGTTTTATAGGAAACAAGATTCACTGTTACCAATCTACCACTGAATAATTTGACAAATTTACATTGTCTTCGGTTGAACTTGTTATAATGAGTCGGTGTAAAGCAGAGGAATTCAGAGAACAGTGAGTAGGATATAAATGTTATACATGTTCCAACTGTATCACGCAAAATATTATATTGTACATGTACCTATTGTGCCAGTATATTATGCATATTCATAATGTAAAATGGAACACTGCTCTAAGCGCCGACAACATATCAAACACAAATCAAATGACACAACACATATTGTTACAGTCTTTATATCAGGGTCAGATGACAAGACTAGTTTAACATCATATAATACTTTTATTCTCTGCTTCTTGCATATCAGTTAAAAACATCGTAATGTTAAAGACACCCAGAACTAACTTGTATTGAGGGAGCCATGTCCTAGCTTGGCACAAAATGTGCCAACTCCAAGACGCCCTCCCTTGTTCCGTTTCGTCCCGTGCCAAGGCTCCCACGGCCTCCGCTCTGTCCTATCTACTTTTCGTTTCTGCTTATAAACTCTTTCTAGACAAAGGATGTCATATCAAGTCTTTAATACAGATTGCATTACCAGACAAATGATATCTAAGAGAATATGCAGTTGCGTTATAACTCAGGCCAGGGGTCATAAGTAAAGACTTCCGCGTGGCCGTTAGCCGCGTCAGACCAATGTCAATGTCATAATCTGATAAGGCTAATCGATTTCATGTATGGAGGTTGTAAATTGATATTTCCTCAATTGTGTAACAATATACACATTAAATAATAATCAAAATATCTCTGAAACAAACGTTTCCTGGTCAAGCGGAAGGCTTATAATATGAATAAAATCTCTATGATTACTTCAAAAAGCCAATATGCTAACTATGGCGATGCGTTCAATGTGATATCATGGGATTGTCCTATCACGCGACACGATACCCTGTATGGCGCGCTGTTTAATGTCAGTCATCCCCGACTAACATCAGTTCATTTTTTTTATGAAATCGACCACACACTTCATCATTAATTTGTTTAACCCTTATTCGAATCTTGGTTATTCAAATAAAATCGTTATATGTAGATGGTATTAAAGACTCCGTATACCTGCCCATCTGTTATAGCTGGACCTTTTCCGATTTACAGAACCCCGATGTCTGCTACATATTAACAACAATAACTATACATAGTATTAAAATAAAGTGTGCTTATGAAATGTTAAATGTCCGTGTCGTCTGTAAAGCCATACGTATTGATGACTTGTATCCTATATTTGAGGATATTTCTGGATTTATTGTCTTTTTGCGGATTGATAACGTTAATATTGCATTCTTCATACCTTATTTTAAGTTAAAAGAGATTGTATTTAGAAAGGGATCTTGTGTTTCATACCATATCAACCTATCTTTAATATTGATTGGATGTTTTATTTCAGGTTAGAAAAGGCTGTAAATAAAAATGATACAGTTGCCGTAGAAAGAATTATACAGGAGTATGTGGAATTAGGAAACGAATACGGTATACGACATGTGTTTTGGGTAAAACTCTGTGAAAATGCTCTTAAAAACAAATGCTTACCAATAGCTAAACTGGTGCTGCCTCCTGAGTGTATTTCTAACATTGAAACCAGTAAAACTCTGATGAAGGCTGCAATAGAATCTGATTTCACGGAGGGTGTTAAATTTCTCCACTCTAAAGGAATACCTCTTTCTTTTGCACTACCATCGAGTAATTATTTGTTACATTCAATATCCGGTAACTACTGGAGTGTCCTCATTGAGTGTGCCAAAAACAATAAGGTCGAGGTGTTAAAATACCTGCTAAAACTCAAATATCTTGATAAGAACCCAGATAGAGAACATACGTTAATAATGTTATGTTGTCATGAACTAAACATTGAAAGTTTGAAGATTTTGTTGAACAGTGAACTAATAAATACCATTAACCAACAGTCATGGAATCTTGGATATTCTGCCCTACAATTTTGTATAGATGGAATGAAGAAACGTTCGTCGTTATTTGGTATTGATGTACGAAACCCGAAGAGAGTTCTTGATTGTGTAAAATTATTGGTGGAGGCAGGGGCGAATGTGAATCTACAAGCGGGGAATGGGAAATCACCAATCCAACTGGCTGCTAACCGTGGTATGGTGACAACGGTAATATATTTGGTACAGACAGGAGCAAGCCTTGATATGACAACAAACCAAGGCACCCTCCTTCATTGTCTTGCAGGGAGTGACCAAAAGGCAGATTCTTACGATGAATGTGTTCAGCTATTAATAACCCATGGTATGGACATAAACCAACTGAACTCATCGAATAAAACTCCACTGTATCTAGCAGTATGTCAAGGAAATGAAGAGATGGTGGGGTCATTAATTAAATCCGGTTGTGACGTCAATATTAAATTAGGTTACGACATGGAATCTGTATTAATCCAACTGGCTGCTAACCGTGGTATGGTGACAACGGTAATATATTTGGTACAGACAGGAGCAAGCCTTGATATGACAACAAACCAAGGCACCCTCCTTCATTGTCTTGCAGGGAGTGACCAAAAGGCAGATTCTTACGATGAATGTGTTCAGCTATTAATAACCCATGGTATGGACATAAACCAACTGAACTCATCGAATAAAACTCCACTGTATCTAGCAGTATGTCAAGGAAATGAAGAGATGGTGGGGTCATTAATTAAATCCGGTTGTGACGTCAATATTAAATTAGGTTACGACATGGAATCTGTATTAATGGCTTCAATACGACGGCAACGGACGGCTATTGCTGAAATACTCATTAAAGCTGGTTGTGATGTTAACAGCACTGATAAAAATGGCGTTACACCTTTAATGGAATCCGTAAAAACTGATAACCATGTTTTAGTCAAACAACTTATTGGACACGGGGCGTTTGTTCACGCTAAAGATAACAACGGATGTTTCGTATTGGACTATTCATTTCGTTATAACTATTTATTTCCCGCTTACCACTATACCAACGATCAATCTGCTTCAGCAGACATTGTTAAGATGTTGATAGAGGCTGGGGCTGATATTCATAAATGTGATAATCTGCTTCGCAGAGCACTTGTTCAGGCATATTATGCAACAGCATCATTGCTTATTGAACACGGCATCGATGTCAATACGGTAGACGAAAATGGAGATAAACCGCTTGCTCTTGCTTCCCAAACAGGTAAATTAGAACTAGTGACATTGCTAATATCAAAAGATTGTGATATAAATCACCAAAATCTAAAAGGAAAAACATCGTTGCACAAAGCTATACTAGTTTCGAGATTGCACAAAGCTAAAAAATGTAGGGGATATTCTCTTCAGAATCGGGGAGAAGTTATAAAACTCTTACTACAGAATGGGATGAACGTGAATCTAGGTGACTTCGATGGCCAAACGGCCTTGTTCATGGCAGTAGGTAATGGAGAAAGATCTATTACTAAAGATTTATTGAAGGCTGGTGCCAATGTAAACCATTGTGATAAGAAACGACAAACTCCATTGATGACAGCAGCAAGCAACTGTAATAGATCTATTTTAGAATGTTTACTGGAGGCTGGAGCTGATGTTGATAAAACTGATACAGATGGAAGATCAGCTATATATGGTATAATGGTTGGTAGTCGTGGTAGGGATAGGAAGTGGATCAACTGTCTAAAATTACTTTTGACGAATAAATGTCACGTGTCTCTGGGTACTCCGGAAAAAAATAGAAAAACTCTATTTGAATGGTTACTAGAAAACGACGAAGCCGATCTTATATGGTATCTCGTTACAGAGAACTGTTCTCTCCAAAGCTTGGATCTTCGAAGGGTCAAAGATAAATTTCAATTTCCCGATACGTTGATGCTTTCAAAAATTCTTTTTGAAAGTGGTGCAGAAAAGAATGATATAATCTCGTCTTTAGATACAGGGGTGTCTTCTTCCAGATGCGTTTCTTTTCGGGAAGTATTTGAAGGTAAACATCTCGATAAATTCCGTGATTTCTGTAAATCGAGAAGTTTGAAGTCAAGATGTAGAAGAGTAATAAGGGAATGTATCGGGCCAGGAATCAGCAGTAAAATAACTCAAGTTGGTTTACCAAAATATCTACAAGATTATGTCGTCATGAAAGACTTGATACCCGAGAAATACTTTACTCTTGTACTAAACGATAAAGATGACGATGATTGTAGTGATATTTATTATTCTACTGATGATAGCAGTGATCATTATTATTCCACCGAGGAAGATGACGATTATAATGAAGAGGATTATGGTGATTATTATGACTGGTCGGACTGAAGTTTGTATATTCATAACTGTAGCTTTATTTTACCAACTGCGCCAATGCAACTGGATAATCATACCAGGCCATCTCATGTGATGTACCTGTCATTTCGTTTCACCGTTCGCGTGTCTAGGTAATGTACTGACATTGATGTACCTGTCATTTCGTTGTACCCCTCGCATGTCTAGGTAATGTATTGCTTCATGTCGATATTTAGGAACTATAATTAATTTTAAACTAGAGTGTAATGTGTCTTTCCAAGCTTCCACAATATGCTCCAAATATTCCCAAGCACTCATGTTTAGCGTAGAACAGGGTATCTCTGTGTCTCATTTTAGCAGGATTACACGATATAATCATTTTTAAAATCATTTCTTTTTGTAGTTACAGCATTTTTTAGATATAATACAATACAATTGTACATTTTCTATATTGTCACCAAATTGCCTTCTTATTAGTTCATTAGTTATTAGTGGGCGACATGTTTCCATATTGTCAGCCCGTCCATGTTTTAATTATCGAAACCTTTGATATGAAATGAAATGAAATGAAATGGAGTATAACAACCTACTGTTCTGCTCCTAACCTGGGCTAATGAAGACGGGCATACGCCATACAGTGTGCTATGAGGGAAATTTTGCCCGGACAGCGGCACTACGGCCTACTCTTATATCGAATTCCATCTGCCAGGGGATCTTTTACGTGCACGCCAATGTGTACGCGGGACCTCGGTTTTTCGTCCCATCGGAACGACTAGACAGCTTTCCTTGTCAGCCCCTCCGTCCTGCATCACTGACAAGGGAGAACCACGCCGGATGTCGGTGATGCACGACAGAGGGGCTGACAAGGAAAGCTGTCTAGACATTAATTTACAACATAGTGGAATTGTTAGTTATAGGATTTTTTACTATCTTTCTTATTCAATAAAAGTATTTACTATCTTTCTAATTAAATATAAGTATTTACTATCTTTCTAATTAAATATAAGTTTTTACTATCTTTCTAATTAAATATAAGTTTTACTATCTTTCTAATTCAATAAAAGTATTTACTATCTTTCTAATTAAATATAAGTATTTACTATCTTTCTAATTAAATATAAGTTTTTACTATCTTTCTAATTAAATATAAGTTTTACTATCTTTCTAATTAAATATAAATATTTACTGTCTTTATAATTAAATATAGGTATTAACTGTCTTTATAATTAAATATAAGTATTTGCAATCTTTATAATTAAATATAAGTATTTACTAATTTGTAATTAGTTATAAACTGTTTTTCTAATTAATTAATTAATTTTTAACTGATTATAAGTATTTACTCTCTTTCTATGTAATCTGAATAACTATTTTTCTTACTATTTATAAGTATTTACAATCTTTCTTATCAATTAAAACATTAAGTTAAAAAAGGACCGGACTAACGCGTACAAGACAAACCACAATTTCGAATGTTTTCATTCGACTATCTATGACGCAGCGTGGACAACTATACATCAACAAAGAGTGTACTATTTTGCTGGGAACGGTACTGCCCAAATAGCATGTGCCTGTGGTATTGAAGATTCGTGTGATGGGGTAAACCAGAGAAGACTTGGGTTTCATTACAAACATAACTGCTTTGCCAATACTTGCCTTTGAAGCCGGTGATACTGGTTAGTCTATCTATAACATATATTTATATATTCTATTAAATGAGAGAGAGAGAGAAATGGGGTTTAACGTCCACTCGACACAAACTAGGTCATTTCGGGACTAACATATGGTTTAATTTTATTTACATTATTCGCTTGCGCGTAGGGGTCTTTAGCAGTGGGAGGTAACCGGAGGCCCCGGAGAAAACCCACGAGGTTGGACAGGCGACCCTACTCCTTGCCACGTACAACCGGGGATTCGAAACCACGCCAGTCGACTCAAAGACAGTCTTTATGATACAGCGCGCGCACTCTAACCATTCAGCCATTCAGCCATCCAACCCCCTATATTAAATGACAAGGGTAGGAGATAGTCACATTGATCTAGTATATTAACACGGATAGGTAACTATATTGGCCCATAACAGGTGCGTTGGTCCAGGTAAATGTAGTTGGCAACACATGCATTGGTCTAGTATGTTAACAATGGCACGTAACTGTCGTGAACCGAGACGACGGTGACACGGATGTTGGTTTAGTATATTAACAAGGGTGGGCAACTCTAGCGAACCTGGGAGAGACCGGTGCGTTGGTTTATCAACAAGGGTATGTAATTGTAGAGGAACAAACTCATCTTTATCCATAGACGTTGGAGTCGGGGTCTGGTGGGACAGGCATTTTGCGGGAACAAACATCAGAGAATGAGACCATGTGTCTATATCAGGCACAGAATTACGCGTGGATTTGACGTGACTATCAGAATAAACAACACGAATATAACATTCAGTTCTCTTCGTTTTTCACATTTGTAGTGTTCACTGTTGTTCATATTTTATGAAATGTAAAGGGTGTTCAATGTTGTTCATATTTTATAAAATGTAAAGGGGGTTGGATGGCCGAATGGTTAGCACGTGCGCGCTGTATCATAAGGTCTGCCATTGAATTCAGCTAGCGTGGTTTCGATTCCACGGTTGTACGTGGCAAGGAGTAGAGTTGCCTGTCAAACCTCGTGGGTATTCTCCGGGTCCCCCGGTTTCGAACCACTGCTAAAGACACCTACGCACAAGCGAATTAATGAAATAAAATTGAACCATGTGCTAGTCCCGAAATGACCTAGTTTGTGTCGAGTGGACGTTTTTATATTATAGGTCATTTTACTGAAAGGGAATCCCCGGTTGTACGTGGCAAGGAGTAGGGTCGCCTGTCCAACCTCGTGGGTTTTCTCCGGGTCCTCCGGTTTCCTCCCACTGCTAAAGACCCCTATGCGCAAGCGAATTATGTAAATAAAATTAAACCACATGTTAGTCCCGAAATGACCTAGTTTGTGTCGAGTGGACACTGAAAGGACATTTGTTACAATTGAACCACTTCGTTGTGAAAGATCCGACCAGTGATGAATATACCACAGCATATTGGTGTGTAGACCAGAATGATTAGGGAACTAGTGTCTGATTTCAGCAGGTCCACCAATTCACAGACGTTACAGAATCGATGTTTCATTTGCCCTTTTCGCTATATAAAATTTCTCATGGTTTAATAAACGCTAATATGTACCCAGGCTTGTTATTTGATATTTAAAATCAAGAAAACTTTTTTATTATCTCCCTTCAATTCAACAGATCCTTGTAAATATTTTTGCAAGGGATTCATATTGCGCTAAATTGGTCCTCTACTGGCACCGCTCCTAAATATTTTTGTAAACCTGTTCAGTCTTACATTCCATCGAAAACTTTGCGATCACAATCCCTTAATCAAATGACCCTACCAAGTTACAGGATGACAACTTTTGGTTATCGTTGTTTTGACAGTAGTTACTTAAAGAATGTAGAACTCATTACCTGTTAACCTACAGCAATGCACCACATTATCGTCATTCAAGAAACTTTTAAAAACTCATCAGTTTCAAACAGGTTATAACTGAAAGCTAAAGACTTTATATAGATGTGTTGTCAAGCACTACGAGCAGTATTTTTTTATTGAGTCTTGGCGTTATAGAAAAAGACATTTATTATTATCATTATTACTGTACTGTTGCTACCTAGAGATAAAGCTGAACGTGCACTTTATGAGTTATATATTTATATATACTTTTGTTACATCCATTGAAATGATTTACATATAATGTAAGCATGTTTTCTTTTGGGTGGAGGTTGGGGGTGTATTTTTTATTTTTTATTTTAATTGACACATGTATATATTTATAATGAAATCATTTACATATAATGTTAGCATGCATTGTTTTAATTATCTGTTGGGGCGGTGGTGGTGGGGTGTTGTTAAGACTGTAATCATCTTCGGTATGCTCCACTACGATTTCCTGTTTTGTGGGAGTTGGGGTGTATTTGCTGTATTGTATTTTCAGTGTTACATGCATGTATTTATTATTTATTTTTTTTTTTGGGGGGGGGGGGGGGGGGTAACTGGTGCATATGTAATTATGTTCCCTATATTCCACCTCTCTTACCTGTTGTATAATATTTCCATCTGGATGATCTATATTATATGTACCTGTGTTGGCTGTTACATGTGATTATCTTTGCCTTGTAATAAAGTTCATGTTGTATTGACCACTGCCTGTCCAATCAATATTGGGTTTTGAACGGTGGTGTCGAATGATAGAGTATATCAGTCATTTAGAATTTCATGGATGTCACTCACTGCCAATGAATGTTTTTTTTTCTTGGGAACTATGTAACCCACCCGGGGAGCACTTAAAAGGGCATTGGGTAAGATATTAGAAAGAGAGCTGACAGTTCTCGCTATAATAGTTACAAAATAGATAAAGAAAAGAGAATATGCTGAACATTTCAGTCAAATTGCTTCTCCCAGAACCTAGGTATCAGCTATTCAATTTTAAGCTAGCCTCAGTCGTCATTAAGATAATAACCAAAGTCTCGATGATCTATTTTTACGGTTATTTCATCCACGACAAAACGTATTCAAATCCACTAAATATCGCATGCATCCGGTGCCATCAAGAGTTGATTATGGTCTTGGTAAGTTAATTAATGTCTAATTGATAATTTAGATAACATTGAAGTAAGGCCTAAAGAAAGTCCTGCCTGCAATAGGCAGATTTATCTCGTGAATATTATATGTTTAATATTCGATATTATTTGGATTGGGGCTGGGCGGTCTGAACTGGAGGAAACAAGAAATGAAATGAAATGAAATGAGGTTTAACGTCCTACTGTTCCGCTCCGAAAGGGCTAATGAAGATTGACATATGCCATACAGTGTGCTATGCGGGAATATGGAATTCCAGGGATATTTTACCTGCACGCCAATGTATACACGGGAGCTCGGTTTTTCGTTTCATCCTGCACCATTGACTAGGGAAAACCACGCCAGAAACTTTCTCGTCCAATGCAGGGATCGCACACGCGACCTCCAGCAAAGCGAGTCAGCGCCATACCCACTTTGCCACCGTAGCTACCGAAGAAAGAAGAAGAGAGACAATTAATACATTAATTCAGTTGTAAAGAATGGCGATGATATAAAGAAATATTACAATAATAACTAGTTTGCTTTGTAAATACTTATTTTAATCAACAAATCAACTGGGCCACTCACTGTTAATGCATTTTACCTGGGAACTAGATTGTCTTTGCATTGGCGAAACATTCTACACCTTAAAACTTTATTTCAGGAAAACTTTACGAATCTAGTATATGTGTGTCTCCTACAACCAAATTCAATCACTGGTACACTGAAGTATATACAGGTCAAAAAAAAAATAAAAATAGTGACTGTCTTGGAAAGATAAATAAGAAAATTCCATTTCAATGTTGGTATGACTGTGGTTGCTGTGACCAATCTGTCATAATGGAGCTGGACAAGTTCTTTTCACAGAATGTCAAAAGGTGAATCATCAGAAGATTTGATATCGTTAAAGACCCTTACAAGTGTTGTTTGTTTTTATGGTATACAATGGACGGGGATCACGTCGCCAAGTGGGTAAGACGCTGGCTCGCTAGCCTGGAGGTCGGGTGTTCGATCCCTGCATTGGCCGAGAAAGTTCATCCAGACTTTCCGGCGTGGTTTCCCCTTGTCAGTGATGCAGGACGGAGGGCCTGACAAAGACAGCTGTCTAGTCGTTCGGATAAGACGAAAAACCGAGGTCCCGTGTATATATTGGCATGCACGTAAAAGACCCCTTGGCAGTTGGAATTCGATATAAGAGTAGGCCATAGCGCCGCTGCCCGGGCAAAATTTCCCTCATAGCACACTGTATGGCGTATGCCCGTCTTCATTAGCCCAGTTTAGGAGCAGAACAGTAGGACGTTAAACCCCAATTTATTTTATTTCATTTCATTTATACAATGGACGGTAAGATGACTGAAACTAACACCAAATA